TCTTTTCCCCATGTTAACATTCTACCAAAATCACTGCTAATGGCTATATGACGACCTTCCTCCTACACATTACAGCTTATTTAATTAATTCCCTTATTGCTGAGCGTTTCAATTATTTCTTATTTTTCTCTATTAATTATGCAGGTCCCTAGGAGGTGCAAATGGTTTGTGCTAAAACACTATTATGAAAATATGTATATAAGGCAAGAAAATTTTTCAATAGAATTACTGGGTCCACTAAAATGCCAGATTTAACTCATTAGCTCTTTTAAACTAGATCTTCTCCTGTTTCTAAAAAAGCAATTAAACGAAAAAAACTTCCCATAACTGCTCAGTGGCTATTAATGACAAATAACAGAGTAAGTACGTCATTTCGTTTTATAAATACTACCTTGACCGACAGGTCATATTTGAGATAAACAGGTAAACTTAGCATTTAAAAGCATTTTAATTTTGTTTCACCTATTCAAAGGTAACCATCAACGTAGACTTTAACTTTCCTACTATTTTTAGCAATTTGGGCAGCAAACAATATATTTCTAGATAATAAGGAATAGGTTTCCACATACCACAAAATTGGATCATTAGCAAGTTCACTGAAGCGTTTACACACACAAGCTGCTCTACAAAGGTCTTGTTCCAGTAAGTAAGAGAAGATTTTTAGAACCACTTCATCTGGCAATTTCTCCTGAAGATACTGTTCTGCAGGTGCTGCTAAAAGAGATTAATAAACAGATTAATTAACATGTCAGCAATAATTTCTCATTTAAGGAGCACAATCTTATCTAAAAAGTAAGTACCTTTTATTATTTGATAACAATTTATAAGCACTTTCTTTCATAGATGACACAGTTACCTTGATTGAAAAGGATTCTTTTAACTATTATCTCAAAAATTGGTTAAAAAAGTATTTAAAAAGCATCTTTAAGCAATAAAAAATAAAAATCAATGAGAGAGAGGTTAGTGTTCTTAATGTATACCTCAATTCCAAATGTATTACTCACTATATTTACCTAATTTTTTTATATCAAACATGTATTTAAATTTATTTTTTACACTGTTGGTTTCCCCATAGGCAATACCTGATAGATCTTGTGATTTTCCAGATACTCTTGCACGTTTTGCACGATGACCGAAGTTTTCTGTAGTAGAAGTTGAGGCACCCTACCCAAAACAAAAAGGAAATTAAGGAAGTATGAGGAAATATTTGAAAAGTGTGTAGGAAAATTCCATTACCTTTTTTTTTTT